GAGCCTCACAGACTTAGAAGCGCGGCTCCACCCCAGGGAGAATAGGCCAGCTAGCTATGCCCACGTAGCCGGTGAGGAGCCTCCTAGACGTAGCTTAGCCCAAGATAGCCGCCCCCCACAGCTTCCCGAGCAGCCGGGATCTCAGACAGGTGGCTGGGTGACAGTTCGTAAGAGTCATAGCTCCAATCGAATGCCCACGGAGCATCACCTGCCTGTTCACGTTTCAAATCGATTTTCCCCACTCAGCGACACACCCGCTGAAAAAACAACTATGGTAATTGGAGACTTCATAGTCAGAAATGTGAAGTTAGAGACATGGGCGGCCATAGTGAAATGTATTCCTGGGGCCAGAGCAGGCGACACTGAATCCTATCTGAAGCTGCTGACTAAGGATAAGCCTAAATACAGTAAGGTTGTTATTCACGTTGGCGCTAATGAGTCCCGACTTCGCCAGTCGGAGGTCACTAAAGTTAATGTTGAGTCGGTGTGTAACTTCGCTAAAACAATGTCGGACTCCGTAGTTTTCTCTGGACCCCTACCCAATGTGACCAGTGATGACATGTTTAGCCACGTCTTCATTCAACCGCCGCTTGTCTAGGTGGTGCCCAGTAAATAACGTGGGCTTCAAAGATAACTGGAAATCATTTTGGGGAAATCCTAGTGTGATTAGTAGAGACCACTTTGGGTGGTGCGGCTCTCATATCTAGAAATCTGTAAGGGTTTATTTTACATCCTGAAATGTGACAACCCAGAGTCGAGTTCAGGACACAGGGTCACAGTCTTACATGCCTCTCTGCTGTTTCTTTGCAGCTGCTACCCACCCAACACTCCCAGTACCCCAGAGACTGTGTCTGCCCCCCACCCACCTAAATCATATAAATCAAAAATCAACTCGAGAGGAGTTATTTATAAGAACTAGTGCTGGGCAACGATTAAAATCCTTAATCGAGTTAACTACATGATTTTTCTGAGATTAACAGCGATTAACTGCATTGATATGAGCAGCATTCAATAATGAATTCCAAAGTAGTGTATTGCGCACTTTAATTTTAAAAGTACCACTATATGAACAAACGTGCAATAACATTTGGTTTGCAAACACTTTAAACAAATAAGGTGCTTTTTAACAGAAGCATTCCCTTTACACAGTAGCAGCAAATCTCAAACAATGTAATCAAATCAAATATAAAACCAAAGCTATTTGCCACTGCCAGGGCATTAATGTTTTATTTAGTTTGTTATAGAAAAACAAGTTATCCTCAGAGTCCAGAGCCACAATCATAACATTATAACAGGCAGCAACATTTATAAACCTCAATTTATGGTGATGTACTGTATATGAATGCCTCAGCTAGATGTCTCCATTCTTTAAATGTGGTTTACCACAGTGCCTTGAGGTTTGTGACGGGTTGTAGTCGACTAACGCACCATTGCGACCTGTATGCTAAAGCACAGTGGTCGTCTCTGAGCATGCGAAGACATGTTCATTGGATGGTGCTAGTGTACAAGGCTTTGGTAGGCCTAGCTCCGGCATACTTATGCTCTCTTTTACGTAGATCGGATACCAAATATGCTTTACGGTCTTGTGATAAGTATCAGCTCATGGTGCCGAGAGTTCGGACCGAAAAAGGGAAACGGGCTTTTGGATTTGCCGCTCCCTCTTCGTGGAATAGTTTCCAAGCAGATTTTAAACTTACTGAATTATGCTCAGTTAAAGCTTTTTATTCTCTTATGGCTCTTAGGCAACAGGACTCTATTGGTCAGTGTATGTGTTTTTAAATTGGTTATATTGTTGATTATTGTATTTATGGTTTTGATTGTTTAAATGTTTAATGTTTTGATTTGTATTGAAACTTATGTATTGACGACATGTGTTGTTGACCTCTTGGCCAGGTCACCCTTGTAAAAGAGATCATGATCTCAATGGGTTTTTTACCTGGTTAAATAAAGTGAAAGAAAACCTGTTTTCTTTGTTTTTTTCTGAACAGATACCAGCAGAAACATTTTTTCTTTTATCAGGGAGCAGCATAAACAGTCAATGTTCAGTAGCAAGTGTCCCTGTTAGAGTGAGGTGAAGTGGAAGAGCACAAAAAAAGTACACAGCTGGGACTTACTGTGTAGGGGACTTATTCCTACTCCTCTACACCAAGAGTTGCTCAGACACACAAGGTCATTTACATTTTCAGATGATAAAGAAACTCTCTTCGTCTGTACAATATGACCAGCAAGAGAAAACAACCTTTCACAGGGTACGGATGTTGCAGGTGTGTCCATGTTCAATTTGTTGTTGTTCTAATTCTGCAACGCTTGCTGGACTGTGTTTAAAGTGGCCCACAACCTTTCTGCATTTGGCCAGGACATTGTCAAACGCACTGTTCTGCAGAGAAACTGTGACAGAGTGATGGAGACTGTGTGCAACGCAGGGGATGTGTTCAAAAGGCAGGTGTCTTGCAGCAGCGATCATATTTCTTGCACTATCTGTGCTAAGTGTGCTGACTTTATTTGAAACGTTCCAATGCTGTGCAACATGAATGGAATGCTCTGCGCACGTTTCAGCAAAATGTCTATTTTCTGTCTTCATTACAGTTAGAGCATGTGAATGCAGTTCCCACTGTTCATCAATATAATGCGCTGTAACTCCGAGGTAATTATGGTTACCCAGCGATGTCCAGTAGTCTCCAGTGAGAGCAACAGTTGGTGCATGTTGTAACGCCATCAATTTTGTAGTCCTCTCCTTTTCATACAACTCATGTATTCTTCTTGTGATGGTGCTTCTTGAGGGAGGCTCATACGTGCTGTCATTGGTTGCGATCCTAATAATGTTCCTCAGACCGACATCTTCCACAATATTAATCGGCCTGCAGTTTGTTGCTATCCACTCAGCTATGGCATTTGTTAACTTGTCTTGCTTTTGTTTATCAATACTTCTCCCACACACTACACCCAACGTAGTCTGCCGAAGCCTCCCTCCGCTGTTTGTTTGGGTCGGTGATTTGCTGGCATCAATGGTGTGTTTTGCATCTAAGTGATACTTCAGACTCGTAGTACTCCGGTGATAAGAAAATTCTACATTGCAGTGGCTACAAATGACTTTGGTTCTATCAACTCCGCCGTGCAGAAGAGATTTAAAATGAAAATGTCCATGTAAGAGTGCTTTACCTTTTTCGATTTTTCTGTCCCGCCAGTTTTATTTGGTTCCACTTCACCTGAGCGCTGCAGCGGTCTTACATCCACCCCAAATGCTCTTATTAGTTGAGATACATGATGACGACCATCTCAAGCCAGTACTGAACGATATCCCACCCCTCCTGTGACCCACGGTTTGTTTGTATGTGTATTCAGAGCCAGGGAGAGACTGACTTTCAAAATAATAATAATGATAAAAATAAACTGCGTTATCACGCAATAAAATAATTGTCCGCATTACTGAAATATTATGTTAATCGCGAGGTTAACGCTGTAACTTGCCCAGCCTTAATAAGAACCTAATTAAAATTAAGATGACTCCTCTTATAGTAGAAAGTAATAGGACAATCAAATGTGGACTATTAAATATCAGATCCCTCTCGTGTCCTGAGATGACTTTTGTTGTGATTTAGCGCTATACAAATAAAATTTGATTTGACTTGAATTGATGCTGGAGCAAATCAGAAAGAGCCTGCTGGAGGGACCAGTTAGCCCCGAAGGTCTCTTTGGGCCACACCTCCAGGAGGCTGTCTCTCACCTGCAGCAAGCAGCTGATGAGGCGGAGCAAGTTCGATGGCTGGCATTGTGCAGGCAGCAACAACCTCATTCCTCCTGACCAGACTGGTGCAGTCATGGCATAAAACATCACAGAGCCAGGTGCCCAGCAACCACTGCTGCTGCTTAACCATGGCATGCCCCACTGCCAGACTCCCCCCCCCCCAACCCCCCCCCCCCCCCCCTCCCCCCCAAAACAGTGGCAGCAATAACGGGGCGAGGGGAATGTATGCGACTCCACTGCTGAAAATATTGGCTCTCTTCAGGGCCTCCACCGGTTTAATAAAGAGCAGTTCCCAGACAGCTGTCTTTTCTCTGTCCCTGGGTGTCCACGATCCTCACGCACATGTCTCCCCACATGTCTCTCCCTTCACACACACACTGCAGTGGGAGACACGCTTAACTTAATTTCTTCCCCACAGCACAACACTGTTGCTCCATCTGATGTAGCGCTGCCTGTGAGTCTCTGTGGCCTCCCAACTCCTCACCTGCTCGTGCACATGAGTGTTGGTTTTGCCCCTACACAAGAGGCGAGTGATGAAACTGAGCATGGGGTGCGCGCCTCTCCTCAGCCCTTTCTTCAATGCCCTCCCTTGGGTTGCACAGAGCACACCCTTATCTCTGGCAACAGTGGAGAGGGCGCACCAGTGGCTAGCGGCTCTGAGGGAGAGCAGGTTCTGATGAAATTCTATTTTTAGGGGACTTCAGTATTCACCTGAATAAGGCCTCTGATTCTCTCTGTAAAGCTTTTGTGTCTCTTATCACTGCTTCTGGTTTCACATGTGTCCATGTGAACCTACTCACTGCAGTGGTAACTTGACCTGGTTCTGTCTCGTGGTCTCATCTGACCGTCTCTTTGTGTTAAATTGCTTTCTTATTAAATCTGCTGCAGTCAGCTCTGTTGAAAACAGTAATAATAATGGCAAAGTCAGGGTAAAGTAGAAATAAATGTATTCTGAGTTTGTCACACCACAGGAAGATATGTTAACCACCCACACAAAACTGAATGATTAAAAAGATCACCAAGTATATAAAATTAGCTTCAAAATCATGAAAAAATGAGTTTTCTCTACTCTGAAACGCTGGAGGTGTCGGGTGAAGATAGTGAAACTACGTCCAATCGCAGCAATGTACCGGTGGTCACTGTGTCTTACACAACCACATACAGTCCCAAAGTAGTGAAATTAATTCCAACAGGTAGCATAGTGCCGACAATAACATCATGGATAATTAATCCGCTGGTTAACCAGCAACACATCACATGCATTGATGAGCTGATCGCTAACCGCCGCAGGGGGTTCACTGGTCGGCTGCTCGTAGGTTAGACCCGGTCAGGTAAAACAGGGAGTCCCTGTACTGGAACATTCCTGGACATGCAGTAACCTCAGGTCCTGTATTTTTAACACAGCCTCTGGTCACAGTGCAGCCGCAGGAGGGAAAATATATCCACAAAACCGGGCGCAGTTGAAAAATGCCAATTTTAAAATGGCACTGGTGAATGTCAGGCAACTGCCTGGAGATTATAACCATTCAAGGAAATCCTTAAAGTAATTATTTGGTTAGGAAAAAAGTCTCGTGGGCAAGAGTTTGTGAGACCAAGTTGTTTCTGCATTAAAGTACTAGAACATACGTTTACCTCATTTACCGCTTTAGGTCACGTCTAAGATGATAATTCATCATTGTAGATACAATAAGTCAGAAAACAAGGAAAAGTGCTGTGGGCTCTTTAAAAGGTGGACTTTAGACAAACAGTCAAAAACAGCTGTCTTTTAGCTGCTTGCACTTTATAGAGCATGATAGACTGAGTTTATTTAATTTTATGGCTGAAAATGTGCATTTCAATTTGTAAATATTAGTATGCCAACATGCTATGTTAAGGTGGTGAACATGGTATAAAAATTGTACCATCTTATACTTGAGGCACATTAGAACTATCATCAATGGACATAACTTTGTGTGTCAGTGTAATCAGCACTTAAAGTGGCTGTAAATCATATCAGCTTACTATGTGTGTATCTTCCCTCAGGTATAACCAGGTGAATGCTATCCGTATGGCCTGCAGGACTGGAATAACAGAATGCCAGAACTTGACTACCTCATGGTTCAAACAATGGATAGACAACCATCAGCACAATTTGTTGGTCTATTTTATATATCAATAATAATTAATAATGGCCCCTTTCTTAAAATTACTCAGTGAGTTAACTTCAACTCCCTTTTCAGGATTGAGCCCAACCTACGTTCTGCTGTGTACTGCAGTGCCATAGCAGCAGGGGATGAGGCAGAGTGGGAGTTTGGCTGGTCACAGTTCACGAATGCTACTGTAGCAAGTGAGGCCAGCAGACTCATGTCTGCACTGGCCTGTACTGGCAAGATACAACTGCTGAAAAGGTGTGTATCCTTCCACTCTTTACACAGTGGAGGCAGATAATGTAGTGATTGTTTGGGTGTGTGTGTGTGTAAGGTAGGACCCAGGAATGCAGACCTTACTGATGTGAGACACAAAGAAGTTTATTTAATAGAACACTAGTATGCTGAGTGAACCAAAGAGGGGACAGGGACTGAGCAGGAAGCCGAGGGACCTGAGGGCTGTGGTGTACAGGTGAGACTAGGTGCCAGACTCTGTGAGGACCAGTGGAGCAGGGGTACAGGTGAGTAGGCAGATGGTGGCAGATACTAGGAGGACCAAAGGACCAGGGCATATAGGTGAGAAGGCCGGAGGAGCAAGAAGAGCTTGTGAGAAGATGCTGGCGGGGTGACTCACAGTGCTGCTGGCAGGCAGGTTAATTCACAGCGTTGCCTGCAAACAAATACCTCATCTAGGACATAGAAGGGTCAATGGAGGTAATCAACAGTTAGCAGCTCGACGAGTCGTCTTCGTAGCAAGTGATTAGTTTCTCTTTCTTCTAGATCCAGCAGGGAGCAATCCGAGAGTCTCTAGAGATGATTCCACAACGTGGCAACAGGACTGGATAGGTGGCAGAGAGAAACTGTGGTAGTAACAAAGCAGAGTGCAACTGTAGCAGTAGTAGAGTAATGTAGTGTAGTGTAGAATCAGTATGAGTCACGCAGAGTAATGAACCGGCAAGTGACAAACAGAGAGGAGGAGTATATGTAGCGCGAACAACCGAGAGAGATGACGAGGGGCAGGTGAGAACAATGAGTAATGATTACAACTGGGGTGAAGCGAGAACAGGTGAGGTGAGATGAAACGGAAAAGGGCCAAAACAAAAGTACAAAATGGCGAAAGAAGTCTGACTCAGAGTCAAGGGGTTCAGGTAAGTTAAGTGTGACAGTTTCAAGAGCTAGCCAGGTTATAGCGTGGATCACAGGTAAGTACAAACACAGAGCTGGAGGGGACTTACTCAGCGTCAGAGAGTTCAGGAGAGGAATGAGTTCATGCGAGGTGCTGGATAAGGATGGGCGAGGGAAACCTTCAGGAAAATTCCCTTCATGGATTTAGAACCGTGGTAAAGCTGGGGCAGGAGAGGTGGAGTGGAACAGAAAACAAAAACACAAAATAAAAGCATGAAAACAGGAAGTGAGTCCACATCATAACAGTCTTTGATCAGCAGTGGTTCATAATGATGTTGGGCTCTCCTCATGTCCAGCGCCATCTCCGTGGTCTCGCTGATGTTCAATATGAAACTTGGCTTCACTTCATGTCACCAGGATCATGTTTACAGTAACATACGGGGTGCATACAGGGCCTAACCCCGCCCCCACCTTGGATGCTCAGACCACATTTCTTTGTTCCTGTATCCAGCTTACAGACAAAGACTGAAACAAACAAACCCTGTCACCAAACAAATTAAACTCTGGACCCCAGAGACTGAAGGCACCCTGCAGGACTGTTTCGCCCAGACAGACTGGGATGTGTTTAAAGCTACAGCCACTTCAGAGGACCTTTCTGTCAGCATACAGGATTATGCTGAGTATGTGATTGGACACATTAGTACCTGTATTGACAACATTGTGCCCACCATACAAGTCAGGAGGTTCCCCAACCAGAAGCCCTGGATAAACAGTGAGGTACGCCACATGCTGCGTGCTCGCTCTCATGCATTCAGATCAGGCAATGGGATGGAGTACAAAGCTGCAAAGCACAGACTGAGGAAAGCCATCACAGTGGCCAAGAGGCAGTACAGAGAGAAGCTGAATGGCTTCTATTCTACTGCTGACTCCGGACGGATGTGGTAAGGCCTGCAGCACATCACAGACTACGGGACCACCACCAGCATCATCAGCTCCACAGACAGCCTGCCGGATGACCTCAATACCTTCTACACCTGCTTTGAGACCTCCAGCCACAGCGAGAGGAGGCGCACACACACCACCCAACCCCCCACCAACTGTCTCAGCAGGCCTGAGGAAGATCAACCCCCGCAAAGCAGCAGGACTGGACAACATCCCTGGGAGGGTTCTCAGGGCATGTGCCAGTGAGCTGGCTGATGTTCTCACCACCATCTTCAACCTCTCACTCAGCCAGAGCATCATTCCCATCTGCTTTAAGACCACAACCATCATCCCCCTTCCCAAGAACAGCCCGGTCACCTGCCTGAACGACTACAGGCCAGTGGCACACAATTATTATGAAGTGCTTTGAGAGAGTGGTGTTGGCCCACATTCAGAGCAGTATACTGGGCACCCTGGACCCACTGCAGTATGCCTACCGGCCCAACAGGGCCACCTCAGACGCCATCGCGGCTGGCCTCCACTATTCCCTTTCTCACCTGGAAAATGGAGACTCCTACGCCAGGATACTCTTCACTGACTACAGCTCTGCCTTCAACACAGTTGTCCCCCACAAACTCACCCACAAACTGTCCACACTGGGTCTGCACCCCACCCTCTGTGACTGGCTCCTGGACTTTCTGACTGGCAGGCCCCAGACTGTCAGAATTGGCAGTAGAACTTCAGCCAGCATTGTTACAAACACTGGCACCCCACAGGAATGTGTCCTCAGTCCTATCCTCTACACCCTGTTCACCCACGACTGTGTCGCCTCCCACAAAGACAACATCATCCTGAAGTTCGGGGACAAAGCAGCCTACAGGAGGGAGGTGGCCGGTCTGGTGTCATGGTGCAAGGACAATAATCTCAGCCTCAACATGGACAAGACGAAGGAGATGATAGTGGACATGAGGAAGGAGAGATCTCATCGGCCACTGTTCATCCAGGGGCTTGAAGTGGAGAGAGTGAGCAGCTTCAAATACCTGGGCGTCCACATCAGAGGACCTCACTTAGGACACTTAACAGCTGGTCAAGAAGGCCCAACGGTGGCTGTACTTCCTGAGGAGGCTGAGGAGGTTTGGCATGTCGCCTAGGATCCTTTGCAACTTCTACAACTGCATTATTGCGGAGAAGATCACCAGGACTCCACTGCCCTCTCTGCAGAGCATTTACCACTGCAGGGTGCATAGGAAAACTTCCTCCATCCTCAAATATCCAACCCACCCTCAGCACAGACTGTTCGCCTTCCTACCCTCTGGCCGGAGATTCAGAAGTGTGAAATGCAGGACCTCCAGACTGAAAAACTCTTTCTTTCCCTCTGCCATCAGACTCCTAAACAGCTGAGGAGTTTATTACCAGGAAATACGTGATGTACTGTTTACTTTCTCAGTTTGCACATACATAATTGCACATTGACTGTTGACTGCTGCACATGCTGCTCCCATGCAGCATACATTCTCTGTTATATTCTTGTATTTTTTTTATTATGTTGCTGCATTTGCTGCTTAAAGTGCCTTAGATTTTGTGTTACTTATTTATCTACTTTTTTGTATTTGTGGCATTCATGTGGATGGCAAAGTAAGAATTTCATTGTACAGGGAAACATGTGTCCTAACTGTGCATATGACAAATAAAGACTTTGAACTTTGAACCAGGTCTGACACCTCCTTCCTCTAATCTACCTCATCACTGCCAGAAATCAGACTAGTCACCATTGTGTCATCTGCAAATTTAACAATTTTACAGATTAAAAGTGAACAGTTACTGTGTCAAATGTAGAGAGGATTAAAATAGTCATGACAGAGCAGCGACCCAGTGGTTGCTCTAATGGGTCTGTTTCAGTGCTGTGAAAGGGCCAGATCAGATCTTTTTCAAAAATACTACTGTTGTTCAAAAAAGAAATGAATTGATATTTTCTAAAACTCTTTGCTAAAGATGGAAACTTTGACATGGTCCTAAAATTGTTTACAGTAAAATCTGCTGAGCTTTTTTTCCAGCAAAGGCTTAATTACTGTGTACAACGAGATGAGAATGTGCCAGTCTCTTCTGTTCCCACAGGTATCTGTCTTACACCTTAAATTCAACTATGATCCGTAAACAGGACGCCACCACTGTCATCACGTCTGTCGCCAGCAACAGAGCAGGACAGAGTCTGGCATGGGACTTTGTCAGAGACCACTGGGAATACATGTTCACAGAGTGAGTATTACACTCATAAAGACAAGTTGTGAGCATACTGCACTGTGCGTGAGAACAGTGATAATTTAGCTCTTTGTTGCCTACAAATGATATTTGATTCCATTTTAGGATTAAAACGCAGCAGCTGATTTGTCCGTTAGCTATGCCAGAGGGCTGTAGTCTGATCCAAGCTAACTGGGAGGTGGGGTACACCCTGGACATCCTATCACAGGGCTGACACATAGAGATAGGCAGCCATTCACCTTCATTTTAACATTGTGGAATCACTAGTCTTTGGGCTGTGGGAGAAAACCCACACAAACATAGGGAGAACATACAAACTCCTTACAGAAATGCCCAGTTGGCCGGGCTCAAACCCACACACAAGTGTACTAACCACTGCACCACTGTGCTGCCCCTGGAACCTGATTGATTATTTTTATTGTGAAAAATGGTGCTTCTTGGGCAGCACGGTGGCACAGTGGTTAGCGCCATTGCCTCACAGCACGAAGGTTCCGGGTTCGGGCCCCGCCTAGGACCTTTCTGTGTGGAGTTTGCATGTTCTCCCCGTGCTTGCGTGAGTTCTCTCCGGGTACTCTGGCTTCCTCCCACAGTCCAAAGACATGCAGCTTAGGTTGATTGGTGTCTCTAAAATTGCCCATAGGAGTGCATGTGCGTGTGTCTGGTTGTTCGTCTATGTGTTAGCCCTGCGATGGATTGGCGACCTGTCCAGGGTGTACCCCGCCTTCGCCCGATTGCTGGCCGGGATTGGCTCCGGCCCCCCCCCCCTCCTTGTGACCCTGTTCAGGGACAAGCGGTAGAAAATGAATGAATGAATGGTGCTTCAGTTGTTCAGCTACTTGAATCACGATGCAAGCTCCTTTCAACAGAATGTGCCCAGATCTCTGACCAAACTGTCAAATTGCATTGTGGGCAGAATTTTGACAAGAAAGGAGGATGCGTACTTACTTCTTCTGCATCGGATTTGACCAGTTTAATTATCCATTGTAGGTGTGATGATGTTGAGTGCAGTGTTAAATGAAGTGGGCATCGCTACACCATTTTCTCTAATGTTGGACAGACTACCAACCCAAACTGACAGAGCAAGTTAGGACGCCTTCCACAGCTGATGTGTAAAGGCTTTTTTTGAAACCAGATTTTTTTTGACAGCCTCAAAAAGACATTCCCTGATGAGCCACTTCTGTGATTTGGTAAAAATGATTTTCCTAGATAAGCTGTCCAGAACCTACATTGCCAAGAAATTTGAACTTGTTCATTTTCTGGTCTCCCAGTGTTTATGGTCATTCGTTAAGCTGAAGGTTACAGATATGTAAAAGTGGCATTAGGGGGTTATTGCTCCTTAAATCAGAACCAGGATCAGTGTTTATTTAAGCCAAACTGATATCGTTTCAGCTATGGCGTGGGCTCCTTCTCCTTTGCCTCTATGATCAGTGGTGTCACAGCAAGGTTCTCGACACCTGCAGACCTTCAACAGGTATGTACTCAGTCATTTCAAGTGACCTTAACGCCAAGCTGTTGCCCGAACTGTCTGACCAGGTTTTGTCTGCCAGCTAGAGGAGTTTGTGAAGGAGCACAGTGTAGCAGGGTTTGGCCCTGCCACGCTGGCTGTGATGCAGGCCTTGGAGAAGACACGAGCTAACATCAACTGGGTGCAGCAGAACAAACAGGAGATCCTGGACTGGTTCAACATCCAGACTGCACATCCTCCTGTGAATCTGGACTGGCCTGGTTTGTAAGAGGAAGGGTAAAAAAAAAAAAAAAAAAAAAAAAAAAAAAAAAAAAAAAAAAGCCACTGCACCACACCTGAAAACCCATGTGACAAGGCCTGAAAGTTTTTCAGATCAGAATCTGCTTTTCTGGCCTGGCGTGTCAGACACATGAAGAATTTGACTGGTACAGTGGCTCTCGATGTGTATGTACAATGTTCTTCTGTAAAGCAGTCAGAGGTGGAAAGAGTAATAAAATTTTGTACTCAAGTAAAAGTACTGTTACTTCAATGAAATTTTACTGAAGTACAAGTAAAGTTACCAGGCTAAAAATCTACTCAAGTAAAAGTAACTCATTAAAAACATACTGAGTAAAAGTAACAGTTTTAAACAGCAGGGATTCTAGTATAGTTCAAAAAGAGACAAGGGGATATAAATCAAGACTTTTTAATTTACAAATTAAAGTGCAATAATAGAATTTAAAAAGAAAAGAAAAAAACCATACATTTTAAACATTAAGGGAGATGGTAATTCCAGTGCAGATCATCCCGTAAAACATTTTAAACAATACAACTTTTGAATATTGCATAAACTGTGCATTCAGTAGAGCAGCCTAGTGATAGTTCAGTAGTTTAAGTGGGCGTGTAAGAGGTATTTATGCCTATCTAGTGTATTCACTGCAGCAGACAGTGCTCAGCACTCTCCTTGTTTGCAAAAGCATTAAGGTATATGTAGACAGCATCAAAAACATTTTCCCCAGGTTTCACAGACCAGGCCTAAGGTCAGTCCCAGACTAAAAAGAATGTTTGAGCTGTTACAAAAGAAAATAATTTGCACTAACATATCTTAAAAATATGCCAGAGCATTATTTTTCCTAAGACTTTTTTTATTTTTATAAAAGTTACTTAAATAACTGACTAATGTTACAGTAATGCTTAAATCTTTTGCAACATCAGCAGGTCTACTCTAACATGTAGCACGTTTCATTCATTTCGTATGACAATCGTGACACTGCTCAATTGTGCGTTGTCCCTGTTAATTACTAACAACATTGACAATGTCACACACTGAGGCAACACAGCAGTACAACAATTATGTAAACTATAAATACAAGTAATATTAACTTAGTAAGTTAAACTTACCTCAACATGCTTGCACAGGTTTGATGTTGACTAGTTTTTATAAGCTGCCAGTTCAGTCGACTTTGGCAAACACATCTTACACTGCATAATAAAGCTGCTGCTTTTCTTGCACTTAAAATAAAACTAGTCGCTTAAATATGGCCAGAGTTTGCTTTATAAGAGGAACTTGATGGCATTTTGCTTTCAGCTGTGGCTCCATCACTGGCGCCTCCTTCGTCCATCTCCATCTTCTTGTGAGTTTAGCGCTTGTTCACCCCGCCCATCAATCAATCAATCAATCAGTGAAGTGCTTCCGGGGCCCGATTATTTTTTCTTCCCCGTTGCAATACTTTTATTTTTTGAATTAATTTATTTTTTATTCAGTAACAAATATGATTTAAAATGTAGCGAAGTACAATACTTAAAACAAAACATACTTAAGTAAAAGTAAAATTACAGATTTTAAAAACTACTTTAAAAAGTATAAGTACACAAAAACTACTCAATTACAGTAACGCGAGTAAATGTAATCCGTTACTTTCCACCACTGAAAGCAGTAAATACAGTAAACAGGAAAGGACTTACAGGACAAAGAGTGACATTACCCCCTCCCCCCAAAAAAGAAACAAATGTGATGAATAATTAAATTCCACATTGAAGAACCATCAAAAGTCTCAGTGAGATGCCATTCTCCATTTCTGAACAGAGTGAAACATTGACTGGCCAAGAAAGCATATTTGCTCAGTCAAAGCTGAACAAGCAGCCATCCATTGGAGCTGGATAGATATCACAACAGCACAGGAAGTGCTACAGAAATATTATCCAGTCCTAAGGAAGAGAGTCCCATCTGGGGCTTTCACAAGGATGAAACTGCAAGGAATTTTATTTTTGTGTTGGAAACATAGAGGGATTTTAATATTTAATATTTATCTTGCACCTTTCAGACTGTTTGACCAACTTGAACACTGGTCTAAAAAGTAGGCCAGGAAGTTTTGTGCCCTCTGGCTTGTACAGTCTTTTCAACTTGCACCTTTTCAGACAGTATGAACAGCCTGGTCAATATAATGGAGCTGTCTTTTTACTGGTCAGAGCAGAATCGGTTGTTTATACGTCATATGACTAGTCTCTCCGGTCCTTATCCACCAAGTGGTTCTGCTTGGCTCCAACACTGAAAGCTGTTCACATGCAGCATGGCAAAATGGAAATAAAAAAAGCTGCTCCTTTCCTTTTGGGGCCTAAATTGTTTGTATTATTGTTATTGCTGGTATGGTTCTGCCTCCTGGCCACTGCTGCAACAGCATCAGAGCTTATCTTCAGTAGCCTGGTCATGTTCATACGCCCTCTCCCATGTTTATACTCTTACAGTCTGATTCCTTACCATGTGGAGCCATGTTGCACTAGTGGATCTTCAGTGGTCAGTTGGAGCCTGATGAGATCAGGTTGAGAAGAGAGAGAGAGGCTCAGCATCTCAGCTGATCAGACCTGTGTACAAAAACACTCTTCTTCTATTTTGATTTGGAAAATGAATTTACATATCATACCACTGCTATGCAGTTTACTCTGCCAACCAACGACCCAATGAAAACGGGTCCAGGACCCAAAACAAGTCACGAAAACTGTGAAAACTATAATGTTCACATTATCTTTTATAACTTTGTCCATGCAGTTATCCTTAACTGGAAATCACAGGTGTAACTACTTTTGTTTTTGTAGGCACAGGTAAACATTGGTTTTTATTCTATGTAAAGTACTTTGGCCAAAATTTGGTGATTTTAAATGAGCTATATAAAACTAAGTCTGACATTGTTGTATAGTGGTTGAATATCGGGACCTTTATTTTAGTCTCTGTTTGTTTTTAATTACACATATCCTACACTGTGGGGTACTCCATTATATTGTGTACTGCTAGATAAAACTGGTTCTGATGGGTTAATAAAAACACCAGCAGTCAACCAACAAGGCAGTGTCGGAGAGAAGTTAGCCAAGTTTGAAAGAAGTACCCCGCTGAGAGCATAGTTTGTGCAGTTAGGGACTTAGTATACTAACTTTTTTTTTGCTTGTGAAGCTTATGTTACTGTTAATCACTGATTTTATACAAGTCCTTTGAGCCTAAATAACATTCATGTACACATGTAAGCCATGTTAACCTGCCAGACTCAGTCCAGTTTCCTACAGCAGTGACTGCAGCCTTGTAAAGTGAAGCGTGTGCATCAGCCAGTGGAGTTTGTTCCCAATGGGCTTTTGTAAGTGACAGTTTAATGTTGTCGCTGGTAAAGGTGGAGCTCCTGTGTAGTTAACTAACTTAAATGCTTAGAATTTAAATAACTTGTGAATCTCCCACTTGGGCACATGTAGTGGTTAGAAATAAACCAGATTCCAGAAGTGATATGTAATAGAACAGTATGTAGTTCATATAGATATTATTTGTAATAGTTATGTAAGGGTGAGCTCAGTGTGTGCGGAAGCTTGATCTGTCTCTGGCGCAGGCAAGAATATCTGTGTCCCCCTTGATTAACTTATGGGTCAACATCCTGAGTGACTTCCTCCTCTGATAGGGAATGGATATACGGATGTGAACTGTTCATGTGCTCTGTCCAGGTTTAGAAAAGGGAAATGTGCGCTAGGTCTATGTGACCTAGAAGGTCATGTACTGGACGGGTTGGACAATGCCCGGAAGAAGGTGCGTGAGGGTAGCTGGCAAGGGACTGCGTCTTCGGAGACGACGACTGACTGGGGCTGACAGGGGAACCGACTCGGGACCGACATCCAATGACTTGACTGACTGGTGCTTCTGACAATCTCCTTATGCTTTATCTATTCCATTGCAAGAGGAGAGTCTCTGTTCTCTGATCTCTGTTCTCTGTTCCATAACTACAAGATTATGTGTTTAAATACTACTCTATTCAGAATAATTGTAATATTAAATGATACTTTAAATTGTAATGGTTTGTCTGAATTAATTTAGTTGGTATCACACTCTAGCCACGACACACAATAAAGTCGTATGATTACAGTGAACTGTAGTTTGTTTTATTCATCCCCTTTTCAAAAGGAACTAAAATTATCAAATTGATCTAGCAGGGTAATGAGTATATATAGTGTGCAGTAGCAGAAAATGAAAAATATTCAAGTACAGATACCTCAAAATTGTGTGTAATTACAGTACTTAAGTAAATGTATTCACTTACTTCACACCACTGTTTAGTTTACATATTTTTGAGTTGTAAAGCAAATATGAAAACAAATAGTTGTTTATTCCAACCAGCAAATTTATAATTTTGACATATGTTGTACAAATGCAAATAAAAGGCAAATCTGTGTTACTAACTGAAAAACTGTTAGGTTCGTTTATTTTCAAATGAGGAGTAAATTTACCATAAACACCCAAAGTAACACATACAGTCTGTGACATTACAGATCTTTGGATAATATTAAAAAAACATTTAGGACTGTGTTCTGTGTGGTCCATTTGGCCTGACTTATATCCCCCACAATTTCTCTTTAAGGAAAAATGAGTCTGGGTTCCTGTGGGTTACAAATGTGATGTAATGTGTCAATAATTTTAATCCAATAATAAAATACACAATGTGAAATGTGCCATTCTGTGTAATAAGTATTTTTGTTACTTTAAGTATATTTTTGATGCTAATGCAGTTATATTTTCCGAACTGTTAAATGGGTCGAAACCTACCTCGTTCTGTAAACACAAGCTGTTCAGACACACATGCTCTCGTTAGTGCGCTGATGATCTCATTTTATTGGTCTCATTTGTCACAGCCTCACAAACATGGTAACAAACTGAATGAAGTCAATAAAACATTTTACACAGAGGAATTGTCCTTCACCAGGAAAAAAGTCTAAAAATGATTCAAACAAAGAACAAATGATGGCTTTTTAGTTCAGCTGTAATGTTACACACAGACAACGGGTCCAGGAATAGAAAGACATGCTGTATTTATTAGCCATTTCACTGCCATGGTGCTTTACATCACAAAACAAAACAAGACTTTTCATAGACGACTGAACACTAGCAGACATGGGCTACTGATGATCGGAGCGGGTGGTGTGTATGTGTAAATATGTGTTATGTATAAACAGGCTTGTACTTTGACAGTTTAGATCATTTTCAAATTAAGGTTATGTAAGAACGTATTGCAGCAAATTTTAATGTAAATGAATGGAAACCTACATTGTATGATCACTGACATTAACTTCTATTAAAGGGATTGTTGACAGTTTCAGTCTTTGTTTTCTTTCACATGATACTGTGGTTGTCCTGGGTAGACAGTATCACTGGTACCAAGAGTAGCAGCATCTTTACTTCTGAAGACAAATTGTCAGGTTCCATATGACTGAATCCTTTACTTTTCAATCTAGAATTAGTTTTGTACATGTATGTTTTCCTCCATGTCATGTGCAACAGCCCGCAATCGATTTCTCAAAACTGCAGGTGGCTTACATTTAAATTACAAAATATTAATTCAAAGATTGTCAAACAGCATCTAAATCTCCTTCCCCACAACATTGTGATGTCAGAATTTGGAGGGCTAGATCCAAACTCTACCTACTGTAAGTAACCCTAAGTAATCAATCTAGTCTCAGAGGGCAGGTTTACTTGTGGTTCCAGGTCCAAAAGATCTTGGTTCCTAGAGTCGCAAAAATCAACTATCAACACCATCCCCTCTCCTCTCCTCTGCTCCCCCCTCCCCTCTCCTCTCCTCTCTCTCTCCTCCCCCCCCTCCCCTCTCCTCTCTCCTCCTCTCCTCCTCTGATGAATGAAATGTCACAGAAACAACTATGAATAGTGCCAGACAAAGCTAAAGTCTATCAAGGACTTTCTCATCTAACAGTGAGACAGTAAACATTTCACAGCTGAAGTTTGATCAAAGAAAAGCAAACAGCAGCAGAGGGAGGAGGTTCGTAACAACACATCTTCAGTTCAAACAAACGGCAGTGAACATATCTGTAGCTCCTCACACAGAGTCAAGTCTAGTCCAATCCTGTCTATTGTTTTTGATGAAAACACAATCAAGACTCAGACTGCTTTAAACATACACATGATGTTAAATACACATTAAAACTTTGCTAAAAGAAAACATTAGACAAACATGCAGTCATTTAACAACCGGCGGCAGCACAAAATCCACTGCAAAAAAAATCCATATTCACCATCAAACTGTGCAAGAAAAATCAACAAACCCATCATCCATACACCGGTAATGTCCTGTAGCGGGTTAGAGCTTTGTTTATGAGAGTGCTGATAGGGAGAAATGGCAAAGTCTCTGTGGTGCAATAAAGAAAGAAAGGAAGACAAGTATGTCACACTGACAAAAGATGAACCCATGAAAATCAACGTGAATAGATAATGAAGCTATTTGAAATAGTTATTTGTGGAGTGACCTGGTTTCACAGCAGGGTCCTGCAAGCTGTCGGTAATCACTAGCGTTGAAATTGCCATTTATTATGTCGGGGCACCACACCCAATAATTGACTGAACTCTTCCAGATGTAGCTACAGAGACATTTCCTGCCAACAGTAGAAGCTAATATCTGCCGAGTTTTAGTATCTGACAACTGTCAGTGCAGACATACTATATCTGTAGCTTCCAACAAGTTCTCAAACCCAAACAACCCTTTAACTTTTACTCTCTGATATGGCAAATAGGAATGTTTCCTGATTTAACACTCCCATGGTGTCAGGACATCTGCCACAGACACATGGTTCAAACATAGTGCTGAAAATGAAATGACTAACCCTTTAATGATGTGACACTATTGGAGTAAAGGTTTGTTTAAGTTTAAGCACAGAAACCTTGATTAGTTTAAAAAAAAAAGATAATGGTTTGGGTTAAAATAGAGTACTTCGAGGGCTGGTAAGTGAGACTGAGTAAATTTTGCCTGATGTTGGATTGTTAATTTAAATTAAACACAGCCTGCAGGAGTAAAGTTTTACTTTAATACATGCCCTTTCTGACTTTATCACTTATCATCTGGCAATTTATTGTTCAGTCCACAAGTTTTTCATTATGGTTTTCCCCAATTTGCCTTCATTTAACTTGCTTTAGGTCATTTTGTGTGCGTCGCCTGCATGCTAAATGGCAGTTACACTTGCAGCAAGTAATGACTTTATTTATAGCATCAAATAAAAATTCACACTATTGTAATTTTAAATTCATGAACTTTTTCATAATCTTTTTAACATGGTGAAAGCAGTGTGTTGTCCCACTGCACTGTAAAGACCAAAGCAGCTGTGATTCACAGTTTTGTCCACAAGGTGGTGCAATTCTGTTAAGGCCCAGAACAAGCATGAGAGAAAAAGAGCAATAATAAGACGTCCAAGAGACCAAATGTTGTTCATCAGGGCCTTCTCTATGTGTTACTGTCAAAAAAAAAACATCCTACTCCAAAACTCCAGGTCAGAGATGGTAAGTACATCTACACATTTCACCTCGGATGGATTTTATCTGTGTAAGTCAAGTCCCTGTACAGGAAGAGGTGATGATGTTCATGCAAAACCAAAACATACAGCATGAGAGACACACCTCAAGACATGAGTAAGTAGCTTCACTTCTAACAACACCACTGCCTCTGAGTTACTGAACTGTCAGTGAATTCTATGGGTGCCAGTTGAGGGAGGCAAAGAACTTTTCTTTTCTTTTCAGGGGGTTAATTAGCTTATGGGACAAAGCTGCGTTTTGGCCATCCAGTCCTATGTCAACCACATCACAGCTAGGCCCACTAAAAAGAAACACTAACACTAGTTAAAGCCCCTCTTTTCTATAACGCATGAGAAACACAACACTGTGTCAGTGTTGTGCCAGACACAAAAGAAATGTGGCCGATATCTGACATCACTCCCCATCATGCAGAGAACTACTGGTGGAAAAACAAGCAGCAGAAGACAGATTGTGTGATTTAAGCATCAAGGAGGATTGACACACGCAGAAATCCTTAATCCTCAGTCACATCCTCATCACGTGGTCAGTGAATTCAGGGGGTCTTAATAGATTTATTGCCTTAGCAAAAAATCACATTTCTCGAGCAGAAATAAACTTGGTATCAGTCTCATTTTAGAACAGTGAAACCTGTGTACACCTAAAGCCAACTCCTCTTCCTGCCATTATTAAAGAGGTGGTATGATGGAAAACAAACAAAGAAATAAACCTTGAGATGGATCGGGGTGATGGTGGCGGTCTTATGTTGTTGTCAAATTATTATTGCACTCTTTTTAAGTTGTGAAAATTTTTAAATCTCCTGCCTCGAGAGTGAGCAGCATTCAAATGGCACCAGACAGTAATAAAGGTCAACGCCTGTCAATCTTAGGTGTGAACCAGATTGATTTATGGCTTTTGACCACACCCCCTTTGAACACCTAGCTTGACACAGCTGAGCCATCCACGTTGTTTTCCAGACAATATCATTAATATACAACCGCACACCTGCAAGTCATAAAATCACATCTGGCAACACTAAAACTGGTTTTTCATGGGATCAAGTTGGCCATCATGTTTTCATATCATCATCAAAGGATTATATTAGGCTCTTCACAGCAACAGGTCAGAGCCCCAGCACCCTCACAGACTAGACAAGGCACCTCAAAGGGGTTTTATGGGGACTGACCAGCAGGCCATAGACACTGGCTGACAGGTGTAAGGATTTTAATTCACAGGGATTTACTTTACCATCAATAGTTTAGTTAGATTTAAGGAATAATTCTTTTTAACCTGCCCCATCCCCTCCTTGTCTCCACAGTATGGTGACTTTAAGCACATATGTTTCAGTGGTCGCTGTGTGTGTGTGTGTGTGTGTGTGTGTGTGTGTGTGTAACAGAATTAATCCTCTTTTTTGTAATTAAATATTAGGCTGACACAATAAAAAAATATCTTATTTTGGGAACCGCAGCTGTTTCACACCAGCATAGTTTAATTTTTAGGAAGTTCAGCCTGATATTTTGGATGAATTCAGAATTATTTAGGGAACAAACACTAGTGTTTCTCATCCATAGATGGACTTCTCTCTCTCTCCACACAAACAACATTTAATCTAAACAGCTTCTTTGTTAGCAACCAAGGAGATTTTAACCAAACACTTGCTGCCACATCCTCCACAGCAGCTGGATTAAATTCATCAGTGTTCAGCAGCGTCTCCCTGGGTTTGATGTCTCAAAGGCAGCACAGGCTCTGACTCCTGACTGCTCCCCACGGCGCTGTGTACCAGCATCTCACTACACAGGCTCTTGTCGTTCAAGAGGAAGCCTGTCACATCAGGTGAATCATGTTCCACGAGTAGTAAAATAACAAATTATTTCCTTAGGTTAGTGAAGAACAAGTAAGATATTCCAAAAAAACCAACAAGTACTGCAGGCTCATGTTCCCAGGCTTCTGAGCGGTACGACTGGGGCTGGCCACAGTCATCCAGCGGGCATGCAGGTAGCTCTCCACCCTGTCCTGCACTCGGTGGTAGTCCTGAAGACCCCAGTAAGCTCTCCCTATAAGTTCTCCATACATCATGGGTGGCAAGGTCTCAGGCCCCTGGCTGCTGCTCAGTTGGGGGGTGTACCAGCAGCCAAACGGTCTTTTTCTCCCAAACGCAACACACGGCGTGCAACCACAAGCATTTCATAAGTAGTGAAATTAATTCCGCCAATACAGCAGCAATCACAACATCTTCCATCCAATTAATTCTGCAGTAGCAGGTCCCTCTCCTCCCCATTCAGGATCAGACTCTGGGTCACATACTGTATCTCCATATAGTGTCTATGGTTTCAGCTGTAGCCATTATTCTAGGTAAAGGATGACAGCAACTGAAGGAGGTCTAGCATTAGTCTATTCTGATTCGGGGGATGGGGATGATGAATCATCACCTCTAGCCAATCATAGTAGGTGCTTATGAATAATGTGCATTTTATGCTAATGACTTCTGAAACAGCCAGCTAGGGGCCAGATGGGAATCTGGGCTGTTTCTAAAGATGGATTTAGAGAAAGCTAATCAACTTTGGGTGAATAAAATGTCACATATAAATGGGTCAAAAAGGGCCATAATACCACCTCTTTAATGGAACAACCACACCTGGATCTCACATAACCTCACAGGAGGATTTTCTCTCGTGTGTCAGGCAATCTGAGGGCCACCAGGCCGCCACACACCAGTGCAGTGAAGGACAGCAGGATGGGGATGACTTCTGTGATGCCCACAAAGCTGGCAAAGATAGAGCTGCCGAGGACTGCTGCCAGCTTACACAAAGCATTCAACACACCAAACGCTGTGGCCCTGACAGACAGAGACAGAGAAATGACAAAAGAGTCACTGGCAAGAACGCTTATTTGAACGCTTAATTGAAATTGAACTGTCAGGGTCACCAGTGTTTTGACAGTGAACTTGAGCTTCATCTTTGTTAGTGTAAAGTAAGGAATATCAACATGGCTGTAACAATAAATGTAGATACCTTTTTGAAGCAGGGTACAGCTCCACGGTCACCACCTCAATGCCATTCCATGCAGCTACACTGACACCACAGAACAGACACTGTAGGGCAATGATCGCCGATTGGCTGAAACCCAGAAACAGGAAGAAGCTGCAGCCTGCTGAAATGAGCATGGAGCCACCTGCAGAATCACAGAATCCTGATTATGAGTCCTTTAATATGTCATAAAAAAACATAGAAAGAACACAAGGAGCAACACCCACAACTTTGACAAAGAAAATGAATTAAAAGAACCACCTCTATCAAAAAGCCAAGCTAAAAAACTGTCACACTCCATCTCATATGTCTGACTGTCAGCTGGACAGGACATGCAATATAGTGGCAAACCAAAACAAGGATACTGGATGACAACTTAATAGTAGTAAAGACTCTCAGTTTGAAAAATAAGATAGTATTTTTATCTAGTACATTTCATAATTACAACAAAGTAATTCAAATTTGTCATAGTTTTGAATTACTGCCTCCTAATTTTGGTGTAAAATATTGCACTTTTGATATAGTAATTGGTGATTATTGATATATGCTCATTAAAACAAAATGCATTCATCCTGGCATATGCCTTATTGCATAACCCGTTTGTAACAATGTTTGTTGCCATTTCAAATAACATAATCTTGTCCATGAAAAGTATTACCTCCACCAAGGTCGGGGGATAATATTTTGGCCAGTGTTTGTTGGTTTGTTAGTTCACAGCATAACTCAAAATGTAATTCATGGATTTGGAAACAATTTTTGGGAGAGGTAGGGATTGATTTGATTCAGGATCATCTGGATCCAGGAATCATTTCAAGGATTATCCACCACTGTGAGTGTTGGAAAGGCTGTTGGCTGTATGTGAGCCCCCTTGTGGCAAAGTTGCACAGCTGTGCTGCTGAGTGAAGACGAATGGAGCTAACAGGCTAAGTGGAGCATGAGGCATATTGGAAATCAAACTCAAAATTGGACTGAGATGTAGACAAATGTGACTTCTATGTGTCTTTGAGGGACTGTAAGTGGACATTGTTATTTTAGTCTGCATGGGACATTTATATAGCTATTCACAGCATTAGTACTCACTCATGTCTATCACTTTTCTTGAATAAATTTAATATAATTGTGATTCCAAATGCTAGAAGTAGATTTTCACGGTCAAGGAGTCACGTGAGGGTTGAACTCTCGTAGAAATGTTGCTTTTAGATGGAACAGAATTATGGGGAATCTGAGCTGTCCTGGTGGAGGTTTGCACCTAGGTGCTGCCTAGTTTCATATGTGCACCTATTGCACATAAAAGGTGGTGTAATTACTAGTTGTAAATTGGTAATTTTTTAAAATATATCTCATTTAGGAATACAAAATCTAAAAAATCGGGGCAATAAACCTCAGAAAAATCACCTATGATCTTCATCCTGCCAATTTTGTCCATGAACAGGGCTGAGATGATGTTGCCTGGCAACACTGCCAGACTGCCCAGGAAGCTAACCAGGTAAATGAGAACATCATTCTCCTCCTCAGTGTCCAGGTGGCAGCCATGTTTGTTGTGCACAAAGGTGGTGTTCTCCATCCAACAGTTGATGAACCTCTCCTCCCACAGGTCTATAGAGAACAGGAAGACCAAAAAAATACAAGATGGAACTTAATGAATAGGGTCAATTGCAGCCTTGGAAGCTTTTGACAAAAAAACTGAAAGTCTTCTTTGGTCATGTCATTAGAGAGAGGCCATAAATTAAGGTCCCCAGTTTCTTTTGTTCTGTTAAGTCATGACCAGTGCTAATATCAAATGATGAGGTAAGAATAACATCGGTCAACATCAGTCGTTAGTATCTACAACCTTAGATTCCTGTCATATCCATCTCTCTGCCCTTGTTTCCTGTTTCTCAGTATATTATAATCTGTGCAATAAAGGAAAAGATGCTAAAAAAAAGATGGTGAGGATGACCCCTGCTCTGTGAGCACTGAACATTTACGAGAAGTGGGGTATACCCTCAGTTCATCTGTTTGTCATTGTCATCTGTTTCATGACAAGTCCTGCTTTTTGGTGACAACCATGTAGCTGACATGAATGACTTTACACAGAAGAAAATGTCTGAATCTGACTAATGTGAGTTATTAAGTTACTGCTAACAGTTCTGTGTTATGCTTTGTCCATGATGGACATAAAACTCCACATCCTAGTGTAAAGAGCAAATTCCACTGACTGTGGCAAGATGAAGCCTGTGTTTACATTTGACTAGGCACGACTGATAAGAAGCAGTGTTATGCTTGTGGTAAACTGTATCAACCAGAAAACAGGCTGGGGGGGGCACAGCAGGGGGTCATGGTGAAAAAAAAATATTGTTGCAAAAATGTGGATGTTTTTACAGCACATTGTCTGTGCATATCTAAATAATGTGTTTGTATTCTGTTAATCACCTGCTATAAGTGCTGTGGCATGAGGTAGCTGGGACTGACCTGTCTTTCTCTACCTAGTGACCCACATGGCAGTATATTTCAGAAATAAGCACATACTCTCAGACAATTCTGTCTGCAGTAACTGGGATTTGGAAGCTCAAAAATCTGACAGTGTTGGGCACAATGCTAAATCTGACAGAAGTTCCCATCTATCCTGTATCCTTCTCCAGTAGGACAATTGCTATTTAAGCTAGCTTTATGTTATATTAGTTAGTAAGGTAGTTAATTTTTTTCCTCCTTGAAATACAGAATATACTTACAGTTCTCAGATCTATCATAAAACATTAGATTCCCAAATGAATGAAACAGTTCATATATTAGTCTAGGGATCCCTTCCTGCTTCCAGTGTAAGTGATGGGAGACACAATTTGCAGGCCTCCTATGCAAAAAGGTATTCAAACATTTATCTAAAAGTTATATGAGGTTTCAGTAGTTTGACAAATCACCTACACTACAGATGTCTTCCAGAGTTTGTGCTTTTATTGTGATACTTGCTATTTAACAGGCAGGAGCGAACTGACAACAAAAAGCATCAGAAGAATTTTCTGTCAAATGACTCAGATATGACAAGTCAAACTGAAAATGGAATGACAAGGTTGTCGATCAACAAATCATTAATCAAAACACAATCTGCTGCTTAGTGTACAATTTGTAATGATGCCCTGATTTAACTTAAGTCTGCTTTTTTAAACAGAAATATTTAAAATACTGTATATTAACTTTGACGTTTTCCAACGCAACTGCTGTATGTAAAGTAAAACCAGTAGACTGCAGCATATTCACACACAGATGCTCTTGCTCTTCCCATCTCTCATCGTCACAAGCAACAGACCGCTTTAATGAGTCAGTTATTTCTGCACACTTTGCACCATCAGCCAAAAAAGCCTTTTTCTTTCTCTGCTGCATCTTTTCTGCTCTGCCAGCTGTGGGTTTTCGCTTTCTCTCCATGTTTTGTTTGATAGTACATGGACCTGGCTGAGTGCAGGATACTTTGCAGCTGTGATACCAACAGTCCTAACTGCTTGTACAGGTTCAACCAGCATTGTTGGTGCAGCTAAGCCTGCCTGTGTAGGTTATACAGGTGCTGGTCATATAATTAGAATATCATCAAAAAGTTGATTTATTTCATTAATTCCATTCAAAAAGTGAAACTTGTATATTATATCCATTCATTACACACAGACGGATATATTTCAAATGTTTATTTCTTTTAATTTTGATGATTATAACTGACAACCAATGAAAACCCCAAATTCGGTATCTCAGAAAATTTGAATATTGTGAAAAGGTTCAATATTGAAGACACCTGGTGCCACACTCTAATCAGCTATTTGACTCAAAACACCTGCAAAGGCCTTTAAATGGTGTCTCAGTCTAGTTCTGTAGGCTACACAATCATGGGGAAGACTGCTGACCTGACAGTTGTCCAAAAGACCACCATTGACACCTTGCACAAGGAGGGCAAGACACAAAAGGTCATTGCAGAAGAGGCTGGCTGTTCACAGAGCTCTGTGTCCAAGCACATTAATAGAGAGGCGAAGGGAAGGAAAAGATGTGGTAGAAAAAAGTGTACAAGCAAAAGGGATAACCGCACCCTGGAGAGGATTGTGAAACAAAACCGATTCAAAAATGTGGGGGAGATTCACAAAGAGTGGACTGCAGCTGGAGTCAGTGCTTCCAGAACCACTACGCACAGACGTATGAAAGACATGGGTTTCAGCTGTCGCATTCCTTGTGTCAAGCCACTCTTGAACAACAGACAGCGTCAGAAGCGTCTCACCTGGGCTAAAGACAAAAAGGACTGGACTGCTGCTGAGTGGTCCAAAGTCATGTTCTCTGATGAAAGTAAATTTTGCATTTCCTTTGGAAATCAGGGTCCCAGAGTCTGGAGGAAGAGAGGAGAGGCACAGAATCCACGTTGCTTGAGGTCCAGTGTAAAGTTTCCACAGTCAGTGATGGTTTGGGGTGCCATGTCATCTGCTGGTGTTGGTCCACTGTGTTTTCTGAGGTCCAAGGTCAATGCAGCTGTATACCAGGAAGTTTTAGAGCACTTCATGCTTCCTGCTGCTGACCTACTTTATGGAGATGCAGATTTCATTTTCCAACAGGACTTGGCACCTGCACACAGTGCCAAAGCTACCAGTACCTGGTTTAAGGACCATGGTATCCCTGTTCTTAATTGGCCAGCAAACTCGCCTGACCTTAACCCCATAGATTTTCTATGTGGTATTGTGAAGAGGAAGATGTGATATGCTAGACCCAACAATGCAGAAGAGCTGAAGGCCACTATCAGAGCAACCTGGGCTCTCGTAACACCTGAGCAGTGCCACAGACTGATCGACTCCATGCCACGCCGCATTGCTGCAGTAATTCAGGCAAAAGGGGCCCCAACTAAGTATTGAGTGCTGTACATGCTCATACTTTTCATGTTCATACTTTTCAGTTGGCCAAGATTTCTAAAAATCCTTTCTTTGTATTGGTATTCAGTAATATTCTAATTTTCTGAGATACCGAATTTGGGGTTTTCATTGGTTGTCAGTTATAATCATCACAATTAAAAGAAATAAACATTTGAAATATATCAGTCTGTGTGTAATGAATGAATATGATATACAAGTTTCACTTTTTGAATGGAATTAGTGAAATAAATCAACTTTTTGATGATATTCTAATTATATGACCAGCACCTGTATAGTGTCTGAAGGGTTTGGGGTAAAAACAACAAACCAGCCCACCTAGACAACTCCTGGATTCCCTGACATCCAGTGTGCCTGGCCTGACATTTGTTCCCATGAAAGTAAAGGTAGTCTGCAGTCAATCTTAGTTTCTGTACTGGAGCTGCTATTCTTCTACAGCGCTGTTCCTGTGCACCTACCTGTGTTATAGAAGACTGTGGAGTGGATGGTGCAGTTCTCAAACACTGTGTCTGTGGACTTGATATCCTCAAAGCGACAGTCTTCAAACAGTGAGTCCTCAAACTTGACTGACTTCATCTCTATACTGATGAACCTATGGGAATGGCATGGGACAAGCAACGAACCGACAGACAAACAAACATGGCCTCCCACTTCTATTGCTGTGGTAATGCAGAATCAGAATGGACAGAAAGCTTTCTGCTGTGGTAAATCCAAGATGGCCACCACTGATATAACTGCCATGGAAAAAAAACAGCTTCATATGTGGACCATGTGTTGGAGTCGAAATGGTGGAATGATCATCTCCATGGCAGTATTATATACTGGATGACAACCCTGTTAACTATGCTGTTCAAGTTGAAAGCCAAAGCCCATCCCATCTATTTCCATTCTCCAAAAAGCATAGAAGTTAAACAATATACAGTAATACGTATAAGATACTGTATATCTGCACTAAACACATTCACTTATAGAAGTGAACTGTCCTTGAAAATACACTCCCTCATTTTGTTACAGAACCAACCCCAAGTTCCAAAGTTCCTCCTAGCTCTTGAGAGTCAGCTGGGCACAAACATGCACGCAAATGTAGAGGTGGTGCAAAATGAATGCAAAAGCTGCACTGTAGAGACACATAGAGGTCCAAATGTATGCATATCAACTGCAAAACCAACAGAAATGATTATGTGCCATGCACTAAGAAAAAGACACATCCACTTGAGTTGACAATATTTCACCTGGAGGAAAAGCTTTGTGGTTTTCCAGAGATTCATCATTATAAATAGGCACCAGTAAAAACTGAGCGTGCCTGGTATATCTACACAGACAGACTTGCAAAATGTCTGTACTGTCAGTAGAGGAACTGTCTGATGAGCAAATGAAATACAGTATACTACAAACAAACAATCAAACAGCAGTAGAAACAGCAGCAAATGTGTAAGAATGAATGTTCACTTCACATTCCGTCTGAATGTATCTTTAGGTCATCCACACACAATGACTGTAAGCGCTGTGCTTATCACAAACTGAGGCATAGATTAAAGTGCAGAGGCAGCATTCTGCAGGTTTGCACCTTCCACCGAGGTTCAAAGAGGCAGAATCTCACCTTAACACAACGAAAGGCACTGGCAGTGGAAAAAGAAACCAGTAAACAAGAAGGGTTTGTGTGCATGATACCTTTTTGTCCATTATGAACCATTTTCAGGTCATGTCACAGACAGATGCTGTGTCATTGGCTTCTCATCACAGTAAAAAAAGTCAAAACAGAAGCTTCCTGAACTGTGAACACAGCAATGAGTTGTAGAACACAACATTTTATCGTGTTCTGTCTGCACTGCCTCATGAAGAACATGCAATATGTGTCTGCTGCCGGCCATGTGTAGAGGGCGCTGAGGCTCTGGTCCTCCCACTGCTGCTTGCACTTAAATGCACAGCTGAGTTTTAACATATTGAGCTAAGAGGAGCTTCAGGAATTTGGAGATGCTGTAACAAAATCAGGAGGTGTAACTTTACTAACTTCACTCACACAGATAGTCATCCATTTATATGTATCCAAAATAAAAGCATACTGTTTAAAACATCCAAAGAGTGTGATAAGGGTGTGAAGCCTTCATAAACCTTTGACGGTTTAATTCACATTGCAATTCAATGTTTTTCTTCTGACCATTACAATATGCAGTAAAGTGATTACCTGTAGACATATAGATAATGTTTTATGAGTCCCAGAGCACACCACACACACAAAATACCACACCGCATGCTAGCTAGTTTCTGGTAACAACATAATGGAGAATGAAATGACTGATGGTCCTATGATTACACTTTTGTTCACTGGAGTGAGGTGGTATTGATCCTTTTCTAAGAGCAAATAGAAAATTGTGCTGTGTTAAAACATCTTCACACTGCTGACTGCTTCCAAAAAGCGAACTGTTGACAGCTGAGCATGTTATAGCACACAGCGGGTACAGACATCTCAACTCAACTCATTTTCAACTAAAACTTAAGCGAAGTTTAAGTAAATATACCTCAGACCAATGTACAAGCAGTAAATGTGCTTTGTGCGCAGAGACAGTGAGACTTACTTGTCATGGATGTATTCCCCTTCTTTATGGATTTGGTTCTCCAAAGAAAAGTTAAAATGGAAGTTCTCCACTCGTTCTTTATGGAACACCTAAAAGGGGGCAAAATATTTCTTGCACAGGTCTGGAAGTGCAACTGAAATTAATGTGCTAATTTACCTGTCTGACCCGCAAACTGACCTCAGCAGATTACCTTTCCTCTGTGACTGCTCGGTTGCTTGTATGAACAGCTAAGGATCTTGTGTTATGTGTCTGGCTTCACTGTGACTCTGCCTCTGATGGAACTCTGATAGTCCTTGAAGGTTTCATTGGCTGTATTGAAACAAGTCTTCCACCTACATATACATATGCCTACCAATGTTCCATCAAATGAGTGCAAATTTATGAAACCAAACATATAAAATGTGGTTTCTCATTTTCCCTCAGAACACAGGGCATGATATACAGAGCAGCACTGCAAAAAAATGCAATTTAAACACCGGCTCTTCAGCACCACTAACAGCACACGGTCTGCCTATGACATGTAGCTACAGTGCAGGCTTCTTTCTTTTGTCACTCATTCCCTATGTTTTAAGACAGGTCTTGTGTCAAAGTCGGTTTCCCTTCTCTTTCCTACTACCCCCTCTAAGGCCAGTGTCAGCGCTTAGATTAGGTTATGATTTGGCCTAGCAGAAATAGCTGGTTGATGGTAGGTTTGGTTTAGGATTGGGTTAAGGTCACGGAAACACATATCGACTGGGAAACAGACTTTGACACAACACAGCAGCTTGCTGACACTCCTCCAGTCAGCCGAGATGAAAAGGAACATATCTGATCTCTCCCCAAAAACCTTCTTTCTTTCTTTTAAAGACAAACAGAAACTACTTACAAAGCCTTTACAAACATGCCAAGATTAGTTTTTACTACTAAAAGAGATGAGTTAAGTTGCACTTTCAGTTAGATTGAACCAAACTGTTGAATGATGAAACCACCCTGCTCCATCACGATCACTTCACAAGCTGGACACTGTTTGTCACAATGTATTAAGATTCCTTACCAAATTAAACCCACTAACACCTCATTGTGATCTGTTTTCCACAGCTAGCTGGCTCTCTGTTCAGTGACTGACTCACTGGTACATTTGGATTTACTAAGCTATTTTGGGTCAACTCTCCTCATACCTCTGTAAACTGATTACAAGACTCGGTTTTGTATATTACAATCTAAAATCACAGGTCATGCACCTGCTATTGGACCCTGGTGTGCAGACTGAGAAGGCCAAGAAAGTGTCAATTTCCTCCAAATACGTGGAATATTTAAGAAAAAGGAAATCAAATTAAGAGTCTTGGGCTCATTGGCTAAATTTAAAGGGACTGTAAACGCTCTGCTGTTTCATACCTTTTCTTCATGTTCCTGTTTTAGCTAATATTCTATCTTGATTAATACATCATTGTTATAGTTTTCTTTCTTGTTTTATTGTTGTCTAATTTGGTGAGCTGTGGTAATAGCAGGGTCCGAAATGAACTTTTTGACTCGCACGCCAGGGAGACTGGTAGATTAAAAAAAATCCACGTTAAACATATTTTTACCAGCCAAAAAACTGATTTGCCTTTTTGTGCCATATACACATTTGTTTCATTTCACTGAGATAATAAGGCATTGCTGTATGCTGAATACAGACATTTATACATTTGTTAAATTAAGTTTTAAATTTAAATTTAAAAGCCACAGTACAGCAGAAGAAGTCTTGACTGCAAAGTTCTACTTAACACTTTGTATGTGCTATTAACTGTACGTCAAGAACAAGTGGACTGGGAGTTCTGTAACCACCACGTATGTGAACCACCTTAAAGCTCCTCCTGAGGCACTCTAACCACAATCACCCCCTTCTCTGCATGATGCATGAAGTCTGGTGTCCTGTCTATGTCAGAGTGTTCACATGTTTATTGGTATTTTAATATTGTAGTTGTCACGTTTTTAGATGTTTTGAATTGTATCTTATGTTAAGCACTTTGTTGGCCTCGGCTGTGTTCAAGTGCTTTATACAGTGCCTTGCGAAAGTATTCGGCCCCCTTGAACTTTGCGACCTTTTGCCACATTTCAGGCTTCAAACATAAAGATATAAAACTGTAATTTTTTGTGAAGAATCAACAACAAGTGGGACACAATCATGAAGTGGAATGAAATTTATTGGATATTTCAAACTTTTTTAACAAATAAAAAACTGAATAATTGGGCGTGCAAAATTATTCAGCCCCTTTACTTTCAGTGCAGCAAACTCTCTCCAGAAGTTCAGTGAGGATCTCTGAATGATCCAATGTTGACCTAAATGACTAATGATGATAAATAGAATCCACCTGTGTGTAATCAAGTCTCCGTATAAATGCACCTGCACTGTGATAGTCTCAGAGGTCCGTTTAAAGCGCAGAGAGCATCATGAAGAACAAGGAACACACCAGGCAGGTCCGAGATACTGTTGTGGAGAAGTTTAAAGCCGGATTTGGATACAAAAAGATTTCCCAAGCTTTAAACATCCCAAGGAGCACTGTGCAAGCGATAATATTGAAATGGAAGGAGTATCAGACCACTGCAAATCTACCAAGACCTGGCCGTCCCTCTAAACTTTCAGCTCATACAAGGAGAAGACTGATCAGAGATGCAGCCAAGAGGCCCATGATCACTCTGGATGAACTGCAGAGATCTACAGCTGAGGTGGGAGACTCTGTCCATAGGACAACAATCAGTCGTATACTGCACAAATCTGGCCTTTATGGAAGAGTGGCAAGAAGAAAGCCATTTCTTAAAGATATCCATAAAAAGTGTCGTTTAAAGTTTGCCACAAGCCACCTGGGAGACACACCAAACATGTGGAAGAAGGTGCTCTGGTCAGATGAAACCAAAATCGAACTTTTTGGCAACAATGCAAAACGTTATGTTTGGCGTAAAAGCAACACAGCTCATCACCCTGAACACACCATCCCCACTGTCAAACATGGTGGTGGCATCATCATGGTTTGGGCCTGCTTTTCTTCAGCAGGGACAGGGAAGATGGTTAAAATTGATGGGAAGATGGATGGAGCCCAATACAGGACCATTCTGGAAGGAAACCTGATGGAGTCTGCAAACGACCTGAGACTGGGACGGAGATTTGTCTTCCAACAAGACACTGATCCAAAACATAAAGCAAAATCTACAATGGAATGGTTCCCAAATAAACATATCCAGGTGTTAGAATGGCCAAGTCAAAGTCCAGACCTGAATCCACTCGAGAATCTGTGGAAAGAACTGAAAACTGCTGTTCACAAATGCTCTCCATCCAACCTCACTGAGCTCGAGCTGTTTTGCAAGGAGGCATGGGCAAAAATTTCAGTCTCTCGATGTGCAAAACTGATAGAGACATACCCCAAGTGACTTACAGCTGTAATCGCAGCAAAAGGTGGCGCTACCAAGTATTAACTTAAGGGGGCTGAATAATTTTGCACGGCCAATTTTTCAGTTTTTTATTTGTTAAAAAAGTTTGAAATATCCAATAAATTTCGTTCCACTTCATGATTGTGTCCCACTTGTTGTTGATTCTTCACAAAAAATTACAGTTTTATATCTTTATGTTTGAAGCCTGAAATGTGACAAAAGGTCGCAAAGTTCAAGGGGGCCGAATACTTTCGCAAGGCACTGTACATGCCCGGTTTTTCTGTTCACGTATGACTCGCGCTTTGTGCATGTAAGTAACATATAGGGTTAGGGTTGGCTCAGAAGGCCAATCAGAGGCAGAGCAGGGGTGTGTGTCTCAAACTCTGACCCAGACAGAAACAGGGCGCCCACAGCAGAAACTCTCAGGATGCTGGTTTATTACATGACTTGTTTGCTACAAACATTTACCTGTCAGTGTGGTGAGTAGTCTTCTGAGATTTACTTGCCAAATAGAAAATCTACCCACATGTGTCGCCTGGTGGGTGTTAATTTCAGACACTGGGTTATCTGTGTTTGCTACTTCACCAGGGTTCCCCCGAGAAAGAGGTTTTAAATCTCAATGGGACTTGTTTAGAAAAACATACATTGTTTAGAAAAATCTCTTGCTGTCACTAAAACAGGACAAAACGATCTGTGTTGCTGTGAGTTGCATGAATTGTTGTTTGCCTTACCTTGACTTTGGATTCGTACTCCTCAAACTGAAAGTGTTTGATCATGTCAGGGAACCAAACAGACAGACCATAGTAGCTGTGACAAAATGGAAATCAAAGAGGAATGATTAATAAAAAGTGGCTAAAACAACAAGAATGTAGCTTCGATCCAAACAACCTCTTTATCACAGGGGTTAGACCTTTCTCTGCTTTACATGGTGTTGAGTTTCTATTTTTAAACAGGCCTGGCTCGTTGGAGTGTTCCGCAGTAGCCAGAGGTGCAAAATGTGACATTTCAGAAAACAGGACAACATTTTCCAAAACAAAAGTGAAAACTCAGACATTTCCAACACTGCTTACTCATGAAGCCAAATTAATCAAGATCAGCACCACCCCCTGGATGTAAACCAGCAAAGTGCTGGCCACAGATGTTGATGCTGCTGGGGCGATTTTAAACTGTGTTTAAAAGGATGGAAGAAGATAATGTATCATGAGCAGCATTTCAGTGGAAGACACTAATAGGATCAAATGCTGACACCCTGACAACACACTTAAAAGAAGCAGGACTTATGAAAAGGAGCAGCTTATGTTCAACAAGCAGCAAAGTGCCACACTATCAGAGCTTCTCAGATCTGGTCAGCCGCTTGGATACAGACCTGCTCTATGTGGTAGATCAGAGTAAAATGATGGATAACTAATGCAGGAAAAATCCAACACATTCATTAGTCGCATCTACAGCGGTCTCTCATTTGACTCTGCCACTTTGCCCCAGAAACAGCAGCATCATTACTGCGGTACAACACTGACACCAGCTGGTGATTGATGCTCAGAACGATGGAGTAACCTGTGCAGTGGGAAACACAGGAACTGACTGGTAGACTAGCATTTTACAACAAAACAGCACTTTGAAAACATGTTGCTGTTTAACTTTATGAAACACACCTCAGAGCCAATGCAGTATCCTCATCTGAGATCCTATCGTGCTAATGCTACATGGCCATTTTAAATCTGGCAACACTGTAATGCCATTTCTTTGTCTGTCTCTCTGTGAGTTCTGGCACTCTGCTGTCTCTTAGCAATCTGATACTATAATGACATTGTGAACTAACCTGAAAGCCATGCAGAACCAGATGATGGCCATGAAAAGTGTGGCAAACCTCAGCTCTGCAGACAGAAGAGATGTCATGTTCCTCAACACCTGTGACAAACAAACATATAACAGTGAACCAATGGCCAAATCCCATTACACCTAGTAGCACTGATTATATGCTTCACAGTATAATTCTAACATAGATCTAAGATACGTAACACCCTCTGGCTCTAAACCATAGTGTAGTGTAGCATAGCATAGTGTAGCATAGTGTAGTGCACTGTAGCGTAGTGTAGCATGGTGTAGTGTAGTGTAGTGTAGTGTAGTGTAGCGTAGCATAGCGTAGTGTAGCATAGCGTAGTGTAGTGTAGCATAGCGTAGTGCAGTGTAGCATAGTGTAGTGAAGCGTAGCATAGCATTGTGTAGTGTAGCACAGCATAGTGTAGCATAGCGTAGTGTAGCATAGCATATCATAGTGTAGTGTAGTGTAATGTAGTGTAGTGTAGTGTAGTGTAGCAAAGCATAATGTATTATAGTGTAGCGTAGTGTAGCATAGCATAGTGTATTATAGTGTAGCATAGCATAGTGTAATATAGTGTAGTGTAGTGTAGCGTAGCATAGCATAGTGTATTATAGTGTAGCATAGCATAGTGTAATATAGTGTAGTGTAGTGTAGCGTAGCATAGCATAGTGTAACATAGCATAGTGTAGGGTAGCATAGTGTAGTGTACTGTAGTGTAGTGTAGTGTAGTGTAGCAAAGCATAGTGTATTATAGTGTAGCATAGCATAGCATAGTGTAACATAGCATAGTGTAGGGTAGCATAGTGTAGTGTACTGTAGTGTAGTGTAGCAAAGCATAGTGTATTATAGTGTAGCATAGTGTAGCATAGCATAGTGTATTATAGTGTAGCATAGCATAGTGTAATATAGTGTAGTGTAGTGTAGCGTAGCATAGCATAGTGTATTATAGTGTAGCATAGCATAGCGTAGTGTAGCATAGCATAGTGTATTATAGTGTAGCACAGCATAGTGTAATATAGTGTAGTGTAGTGTAGCGTAGCATAGCATAGTGTAACATAGCATAGTGTAGGGTAGCATAGTGTAGTGTACTGTAGCGTAGTGTAGTGTAGCATGGCATAGTGTAGTGTAGTCTAGTGTAGCATAGCATAGTGTATTATAGTGTAGCATAGCATAGTGTAGCATATGCAAACAAAAACAGAAATGATAAAGTCCAAAAACTAACCAAAGAGCCTCAGACTGCACCATTACCATATGCCTGTTTGAATAAATGTGTTTTGAGGAGGCCACTGTAATTTCAGGTGGTAGAGTTCCAGAGTCTGGGAGCTGCCACTACAAAAGCTCTATCAACCCAGTGCTTTAATCTTGGTCTAGGTACATGCAGAGGAAACTGACTGGATGACCTAAGTGATCTACCTGGGATGTAGATGTGCAGGAGCTCTGAAATATACAGCGATGCAAGGCTTTAAAAACAAATCTCAGTAATTTAAAAAAAGTCTTCTGCTGAACAGGAAACTTGAAAACAAGTTTTATACAGTATGTTCATGTTTATGAGCAGCAGCATTCTGTACTAACCGAAGCCTGCACAATAAAGCCTGGCAGCACTGCAAGTATCAATTCTTGAGCGGATGAAAGCATGAACAGCCTTTTCAAAGTCATTAAAAGAAAGAAAATGCTTCACCTTGGCTAGTAGTTTTAACTGGAAGAAACTTTTAACCACTGAATTTATCTGTTTATCCAGTCAAAAGACATCAAAAATAACTCCTAAGTTTTTTTATGTGGCACTTTAAATGTGGGGTCATTACATCAAGGTCGAGGGCATTAGTCTGTGCACGGCCTGAACCATGAAGTAGTATACAGTCTGTACTGCCTTCATTACTATGCAAGAAATTCTGTGACAGCCAGCTTTTAATATCAGTCAGGCAGGCAGAGAGGGACTGAACTGAATTTGTATTATTTCCATTCACAGTAGATAGATTTCAATGTCAGCTGCATAAAAGTGGAAAGAATATCCATGTTTCATAATAACTGACACCAAGGACAGAACCCTGAGGAACTCCACAAGTAAGATGGGCAAGTGAGGAGGTAAGGTCATCCATAAATACAGAACAGCCCCTGTTGGACAAGTAGGACTCAAACCATTGCAGGGAAGTACCTTGAATACCAACATAACACTCAAGATGAGGCAACAACATGTGATGGTATCAGAAGCTGCTGAGATATAAAAGGACTAAAACAGCAGCTTTCCCACCATCCACCCTTAACAGAAAGTCATTAGAGACTTTCAACAGTGTCGATTCTGTGCTGTGACAAGAATTCAAATAGGTTAGAAGTTTTTCAAAAATACAGTTCTTATCTAAGAAAGGTTGTAACTACATGAGGACAATGTTCTCGAGGACTTTTGTCATGAATGGCAGTTTTGAAATTGGCAGGACAAACAGGCAAGTGTAAGGATTTGAGCAATTTTGACCAAATTGTAATGGACTACTGGGTCAGAGTATCTCCCAAACAGCATGGGACTAATTTATAATCGATCATTTATATTAATCACATTTCCTTTTCCATCACCAGAGTGGCTGGAGTGTAATGGGAAATTTATATCAGGGCCCTTTTTAGTGTATTGGCTGTTGCTATGTAGTTACTCTATGCAGTTATTTGTGTGCTTGTGACACTAGACAGTTTACTGTGTCAGCATGTTTGTAGAGATAAATATGTCTTTGTGTGAATGCTGAACCAGATAACTTGAATCCTGTTTTGTATCTGTTTGAGCATCTGTTTCTTGCATTTGTATGTGCGTGTATAAGAAGAGATGTAGCCCTCCGTTCTGGAAGCCTCTCTCTTCAGACTGTTACTGTTAGCACTCTGTACGGAGACTGCTCCTTCCCTGCAGGGAATAAATGCGCAACAACTTTCAAAGCTGGTATGAAGATTTTATTCTCCACTCACTAAGCTTTAATAAGATAATTTTTGCCACAGCAGGGTACATATGTCTCAATTACCTGTAGGAAGTGAGAAAAGAAGACAAGCCAGCAGAGCAGTGTGATGCTCTAGGCCAGGGGTGTCAAACTCAAATACACAGTGGGCCAAAATTTAAAACTTCGACAAAGTCGCGGGCCAACATTGATATTTATTGAAAAAATCTTACTCCAGATATAACAATGAACCTTTTTATATGGACCCAAACAAGTTTTGCTTAAACATTGAATATGGAACAAACAAAGCTTAATACTACACAATATATAACTTAATATTGCACACATGCAAAATCGAATTTCAAATAAAAAAAACACAGCAATGGCATTCATTTCTTAAATAAAATAAAAATAAAAATTGTATGCCTCTTTTTTTTATTTGCAGTTTTTTGATTTAGATTTCAACAGTCGGCGATTTGCCGACTTTGATATTCAGAAATGTAGGTTTGAACTATTCAGTAATCCGTTTGCAGTTGTTGTGGAAAATATACCAACCAACCTCCTCCAGTGTAGTGACATGTTGAAGTCAAAGTATGATGCTGTGGGCGCTGCACAGTTTATACATTTCATCCCTGAAACAATGCCTCAGCTCCCACCCAAGCTGCTCAGCTGCTGTCCATGTTCGGAAGCACTTATCTATGTGAGCAACTCTTCTCCTCGATGAAGATGACCAAAACATCTCACAGGAGACGTCTGACTGATGAACACCTTCGCTTGATCCTGAGGATTTTCTCAGCTCAGAGTCTGAACCCAGACACTAATGAACTAGCATCCAAGAAGAGATGCCAGGTATCTGGCTTGGACATATCAGAGTAGTAGCAAAATAAGAATTAACATTTTCTTTATGCACTTTTTCTTGCTACTCCAAGGCATGAGCTTGAATGGTTGCAAGTTCATTTAAATATATTATTATTAGTTAATTGGTGTATTGATGTTATTTTATTTTCTAATTTATTATTAGCCTGTGGAAAAAGGTTACTGTTGAAATTTAAATCAGAAAACTGCAAATAAAAAAAGAGGCATGCAATTTTTATTTTAATTTTATTTAAGAAATGAATGCCATTGCTGTGTTTTTTTATTTGAAATTCGATTTTGCATGTGTGCAATATTAAGTTATATATTGTGTAGTATTAAGCATTGCTTGTTCCATATTCAGTGTTTAAGCAAAACTTGTTTGGGTCCATATAAAAAGGTTCATTGTTATATCTGGAGTAAGATTTTTTCAATAAATATCAATGTTGGCCCACGACTTTGTCGAAGTTTTAAATTTTGGCCCACTGTGTATTTGAGTTTGACACCCCTGCTCTAGGCAATGCTCGAGGAAACCTGGGGTTATTTGATATCATCTCACATGGAGCAGTTTAAACATTCACCTATTGGAATTTGACTATGATTAACATTTAAGGTAAAAAAAAGAGACAACATTCAAAAGATGAGTCATTTGGGGTGTTTTAGCCAAAGTCTACATCCAGAGCACAGGGAAAGGATTTGTGTAGTACACCAAAGTCAAAATCAACAAAAATATATATTTTATATTTTTCAAATGCACACACACACACACTGTGTGGACAAATGCACAAAGTAAAAGCCTGCCCTTTCTGTTATTTAAAATGGAAAATTCATTTCAATGAAATTATTGTATTTACTGGGACAAAGCAAACCCACACACTGTTTTTGCATTGAGCTCAACTTTGGCTTGGTAGCTGCCTTGGCAGTCTTGACTTTCCATGTTGCCAACTGTGCTTTTTCAAAAAAGCGACTAGAGACAATTCTAGCAACCTTTAGGACAGAGTACTTTCTCAGGAGGAGAGTCGTGAGGACAGCCTGAGGTTCTGCATCCTTGCTGGACAAAGGAATGCTCCTCTCACTTCCAGTGAGTATGAGAGAGGAGAGGACAACTGCACTGCCACAGGCAGAGACATACTGTGAATGAGCATGTGCATCCTGGTGTTTCTTTATTATTGATATTTCCCCACAGTGTGATATTTGATATTAATTGTCAAGGAATTGATATATGTAATAAGTTGTAGTCTCTATATAAGTGAATAAGGTGAATTGCTTGTATGTGTCTTATTCTTTAATACAAGTTACCCTTTCATATTGGCATATCGGATTATAAACTTAGATTGTTATTACATGTTTATATTACAGTTACTGTTACTTCTGTTAAGTTTGATTCTATTTCTCATGTGTATGTGATGTCATCTGGTGACATCCCGTTATATTTCTCATAGAATATGTCAAAAACAAAACCCTATGGGTAGCTGATTCCAGAGCTGCCTCACAGGGCAAACAGAGACTGTATTAGTCCTGTAGGTGTGATAGTGTTTGGGCCTTAGTGCCAATCTCTACCTGTGTTGGGTGTGTTGTTACTGTACATACCAGTTTACAGAGTGTTAATGAGCGTACAGCCCATCGTTGTACAGCTGTTCCTGTAGGGCTCTGAATCTCAATAAACTCATCCTCTGCTGTCTTAGGAGCCTTGATGTGAGTCACCTGATAATATAAAAGACAGAAAATGTAAAAGAGCATCTGATCTTTGTCTTAGTAGCTTTGCCTGAAACATAAGTTGAACTCTTGTAGCATCAGTATTAGCTTTGTTTTACATGCTCCAAATTCAGCCCCCGCACTCCTCTTTCTGTTTCACTGAGATCCCAGTGGAAGCTTGTAATTCTTCTCAAGCAAATAAAAAGATCATGTCAGATCCTGCCAGCTTATCAGATCACCTTGTCACTCCTTCACATGTCTAAAATTACAGTCAACTGACTTACAAATCCGCCCTGAGTACCTCAAGTCTCTGGATGTTGTTGGGCTGTCTTGGTTGACACGCCTCTGCAACGTCGCATGGCGGTCGGGGACAGTGCCTCTGGACTGGCAGACCGGGGTGGTGGTCCCTCTTTTTAAGAAGGGGGACCGGAGGGTGTGTTCCAACTATAGGGGGATCACACTCCTCAGCCTCCCCGGGAAAGTCTATGCCAGGGTACTGGAGAGGAGAATTCGACCGATAGTCGAACCTCGAATTCAGGAGGAACAATGCGGTTTTCGTCCTGGCCGTGGAACACTGGACCAGCTCTATACCCTCTTCAGAGTGGCAGAGGGTTCATGGGAGTTTGCCCAACCAGTCCACATGTGCTGCGTGGATCTGGAGAAGGCATTCGACCGTGTCCCTCGCAGCGCCCTGTGGGGGGTGCTCCGGGAGTACGGGGTCCGGGGCCCTTTGCTAAGGGCCACCCGGTCCCTGTACGATCGGAGCAGGAGCTTGGTTCGCATCGCCAGCAGTAAGTCAGACTTGTTTTCAGTGCGTGTTGGAATCCGGCAGGGCTGCCCTTTGTCACCGGTTCTGTTCATTATTTTTATGGACAGAATTTCTAGGCGCAGCCAGGGGCCGGAGGGAGTCCGGTTTGGGGACCACAGGATCTCGTCTCTGCTTTTTGCAGACGACGTTGTCCTGTTGGCCCCATCAAACCAGGACCTCCAGCATGCACTGGGGCGGTTTGCAGCCGAGTGTGAAGCTGCTGGGATGAGAATCAGCACCTCCAAATCCGAGGCCATGGTTCTCAGTC